GGCAAGTGTTAAATAAAGTTGAGCTTTGTTTTGGGCATTCAAGGGAAAAAGTTTACTTAAGGGTTAAATTCTATTCATCTTTGAATGGGCAGTTGTTAATTTAAGGGAGCTTTGTTTTTAGGCAATCAAGGGATAAATTTCAATTGAGTTTGTTTTTGGGCAATCAAGGGATAAATTTCTATTGAGCTGTTGTTTTTGGGCAATCAAGGGATAAACTAAAATCTATTGAGCTGTTGCTTTGGGCAATCAAGGGATATATTTCTATTGAGCTGTTGTTTTGGGCAATCAAGGGATAAATTTCTATTGAGCTGTTGTTTTTGGGCAATCAAGGGATAAACTAAAATCTATTGAGCTGTTGCTTTGGGCAATCAAGGGATATATTTCTATTGAGCTGTTGTTTTGGGCAATCAAGGGATAAATTTCTATTGAGCTGTTGTTTTGGGCAATCAAGGGATAAACTAAAATCTATTGAGCTGTTGCTTTGGCAATCAAGGGATATATTTCTATTGAGCTGTTGTTTTTGGGCAATCAAGGGATAAATTTCTATTGAGCTGTTGTTTTGGGCAATCAAGGGATAAATTTCTATTGAGCTTGTTTTTTGGCAATCAAGGGAATAAATTTCTATTGAGCTGTTGTTTTGGGCAATCAAGGGTTGAGCTTTTTGTTTTTGGGCAATCAAGGGATAAATTTCTATTGAGCTTTGTTTTTGGACAATCAAGGGATAAATTTCTATTGAGCTGTTGTTTTGGGCAATCAAGGGTTGAGCTTTTGTTTTTGGGCAATCAAGGGATAAATTTCTATTGAGCTGTTGTTTTTGGCAATCAAGGGATAAATTTCTATTGAGCTGTTGTTTTGGGCAATCAAGGGTTGAGCTTTTGTTTTTGGCAATCAAGGGATAAATTTCTATTGAGCTGTTGTTTTGGGCAATCAAGGGTTGAGCTTTTGTTTTTGGACAATCAAAGGATAAATTTCTATTGAGCTTTGTTTTTGGACAATCAAGGGATAAATTTCTATTGAATATAATTATGAAGAGTCTTTTTTCTAGTACTTTGATTTGAGACATGTATCCTGTCAGAGCTTGAGTGGAATATGATTTGGATTGGAAAGCTGCAAACAAACATTCCTTGGATCCTTAGTTTGTGTACATGTCTGGCAACATGCAATATTGTCCTTCTGTAGCAGTGGCTCTTGAGTAATTTTTTGATACAACAAGTTTTATTGTAACCAGTGTTGCGAGTCTAGTTTCAGGGTAATTACTAATAGGTTAGCAGTGAGGATACATCCTCAGTGGAAAGGGCATGGGAATATCTGTATTGTGACGGCCCTTGTTCTGAGTCGCGGTCACATTTTCATACATTTACAGTCATATAATCTACAGGCACAGACATATTATGTAAAAAAAAAAATTAAAACAACAACTAACTTTGTACTATAATATCATCATTATATATCCTGCATGCCCTTGAGGAATTGATGTCTTTAAAGTTATACATTATCAAGGCATGCCTACTGTATACTGTAGATCAAATGTTATAGACTTGTATGAGTATTTCTTATATTAACAACGATCAACAATGAGGCATGTAGAAAAATGAGCCGCGTCACGACAAAACCAACATAATGGGTTTGCGACCAGCATGGATCCAGACCAGCCTGCGCATCCGCGCAGTCTGATCAGGATCCATGCTGTTCGCTATCAGTTTCTCTACTTGTTAAAGGGTTTGTAAGCAAACAGCATGGATCCTGATCAGACTGGCTGGTCTGGATCCATGCTGGTCGTAAACCTATTATGTTGGTTTTGTCATGACGCGGCTCAAATGATTATCCTGGGAAAACAATGCTATTGACAAAGGGGAATTAAACAGTTTCATCTCAGAAATAATAAAACATGTCTAGACAGAGTACAGTGCTCCCTAAAGGGAGGTAATAACTTGTTTTACATTATACTGACTGTAAAAGACTAGCTTAAGGCTTTAGTAAGAATTTGGCAAGACAGAAAATATTTGAAGAATTAAAAAAAAAAATGACAAACTTGTGTATGGGAACGTATAATAACCCTGTGAAAAGAGTTTGTGTAAATACAGAATTTATTTTAGTTTGATTGTGTAGGAAGCTATAAGCTTATAGACACACTTTCGAATCCGTCCCTGGAACCAACCAGTACTCTGTCGCTGGAACCAGCCAGTACTGAGCAATGGGTGTAAAGTTTCTTGCTCAAGGAAACAACGACTTGCCCCTGACGGGGTTTAAACCCATGCGGCTAGCGATCATTAGATTACTAGTGCAACCAGTTAATCAGACCAGCTAGTCTGACTAGTTAACCACTGGGCCTCCACACCATTAAATCTGCTTGTCTTTCGAATTGCAAACACAATACAAACACATTTATTTATAAGTATATATAATTTTATTTTGATGTTGGACATTCATTTATGATATTTCAATGCCATCATGTCAATTTTAATTTCGGTGTCATATCAATTTTGATATTAATGTTGGCCATTCATAGATGATATTTCAATGCCATCGTATCAATATTAATTTTGGTGTCATATCAATTTTGATTTTGGTGTATGATATTTCATTGCCATCATGTCAATTTTGATTTCAGTGTTGGACCATTCATCTATGATATTTCAGTGCCATCATATCAATTTCTTTTTTGGTGTTGCATTCATAGATGATATTTCAATGCAGTTTTAACCCTTCATTAAATAAGTGTCTTATTTTTTGTGGTGTTTACTTGTTTACACATACAAAGTCAGCTTGTATATATTTTTGAAAAATGATTATTTAATTGTCAGATAAAATAAGAATTTTTTTCCCCCATAAAGATCAGTAAGGAATCCTTTTTACACAATGATCATGTTTTTTATTGAAGATTTTGAAGCACCATGATAGAAATAGAATGGAAAATTTTTTCTGCTTTTTTTTTTTTACTTAACAATGCTAAAATTAACCTCCAATATTTTGTTAGGGGATTCTCATTGGTCAAGTGTTTTTATTTTTTTATTTCTTGCTTATTTGAATCGTTGACCCGTTATTGTTCTTGGTTTAAGTATCTCTGGGTTATATTAATGTGAGAAAGCATTGAGGAGTTCATTATACTGGGCTTTCTGTGCAAGTGAAGAATAAACGGGGTTACCCAGTTGGGCCTCAAAAAAAAAAAAATTAACATGTTGACCTTTACAGGGTTGTTGTAATTTGAACCCAAACCAAAAGTTTTTGCTTAAAAAATTCTACTGCTTAATATCTGAAACACACCCTATAACTCTTTCTTATAAACAATTATTTTTGATGTGTAAAGTATATAGGATTAAGTATATATATATATATATATATATACTTATGTATATATATATATTTTATTTTTTGGGCAGGGGGGGGGAGGGGAATTTGGGGGTGGGTTTTAGAAACTGAAGAGAAAAATAATAACTTTTATTAAGCTCCCTAGCAAAGAAAGATTTGCTTAAGCACCTGCAGCGTGCCACACCCATGTATAATAATAAATACTAATATGATGTGGAATATTTGAGAAAGCTTTTAATTATTGCAGTGCTGTAAATTAAATTGCCATTTTTTATATATTTTTTCCAGGGAATCAATGGAATATGAGACGAGAGATGATGAAAGATGAAAGGACATGAAAAAACTGACTACAAAAGATGCGAAATTACAGAATAATAGAAATAAAGATAAAAAATTACATAATATATACACAATATTGACAATTAAAAAGAAACTTCTTTAGATGATTACAATTAATTGGGAGAATGTGGTTTTAAACAAGTACAATACTGACTTTAAGGAGAATAATTGTTAAATATATTTGTTTGTAAAGTATTGTGGCAAATATCGTTAATCTAGTGATGATTCACGGTAGTTTGTAGAGCTGGAAATATGATTAAAATTGGAAGAAAGACAGAGATTTGTATGCGTGAGTGAAACTAAGCGTGTTATTAAACTTACTTGCTTTACTGATTTATAAGAAAAAAAATCGGATGTAGAGGAAGAAGAAAAAAGATTACATTTCGTTGCAGTAATAGATGCAGGATATTATGGAAAATGAGATGATGAAAAAATCATTTTTAATAGATTGTCATTTTTTGAAAAGGAAAATGTAATGGAGAAGAAGACAAAAAAAAGTACGTGTCATTAAATTGTTTCACAGTTTTTCCAAGTGATCTTCAGCAGAAAAATATGGCTATGAAAGTTTTAGACGTTACAATGTTACTCCTGAGACTAACCACTTGTTGTAGAAATGGATGGGAAACTCGGATTGCAGCACATTTGCTAAAGTTTAAATTAAATGGAAAGAAAATTTTATCATATATATCGTTCTAACAAGGTTAGGACAGGATACACTTATTCATGTGATAAGTTGAAAAGATTTTAATTCAGTGTTATTTTGTATTTTTACCGTTTTTATTACTTGATGATATTTTCAAATCTAGGTTTCTAATTGAAAGAAATAGAAACTGGTACTTTGATTATTTTTATTAAATATTATACTAAATAATTGCTTGACAACTTTTCTTGAAAAAATTATTTCGTCAATTTATTGTCCCTGGAAAGGAATTGTAAAAATGTTTTTCTAAAAATGGCACAATTTTGTGAACTTTAATATAGGAAATAAAAACTGTATAAGAATCGGTGTGCAGTGATTACAGAGCATTATGTACCGTCACCAGGGATGGGAGTAGATCCCTGGTATGAAAATTTCAAGTTTTTTTCTCACATACTGGCTTCTGTCATCGAACAACAGTAGAGCGGATGGGGAAGGTTGATCAGTTGCCACCACTGGCACAATAGGGGCACAAGAATCCTTTATGTCTTCCGCCCTGCCACTACCACAAAAGCTGGTCATGATTGGCCCAGGCTCCTCGAAAACCAAAATTAAAACACGCGAGTCTGGCCCAAGCTTTCTGCCGGCATTGCTCAGCAGAGATAAATGGGACGCACATTGAGATAACCAGTCGTTCTGTGTAACTCGCCAGGACATGGAGGACAAATCATCGCTCACTAACCAGTACATAGGTTAGTTTGAGTAAACAGTTCGCTCCGCCACATAGTGGACATAATTCCATGGGAAGTCCCAGGAATGTCATGGACAACATCCTGATGGATATGGTCGGGTAAATCAGTTGCATTCCGAAATATCTAGTCATGACAAATGATCGCCGACATGTTTGTCCCCACCTGTTACAGATGAGGTTTTGCGTAGTCCACGCTTAAATAACATAATCTGGTTATTAGGCTGCGGATATTACCATTGTCTGTATTGTGAGAGGGCATTTAAACAGTTGTCTCACCTACAGCAACATCACAGAATTCATACAGGTAAAAATAATTTATTTAATACTTTTGATTTAATAACCTGCCTTCATGTAACATACTTTATTTTTGAATTAACAAAATCTACCTTTTTACAGGTAACATTTATATTAATGTTGAATTAACAGTATCTCCTTTTTTGCAGGTAACAGTTTATGTTGAATTTACAAAATCTCCCTTTTTACAGGTGACATAGATTAATGTTGAATAAACAACATCTTCTGTTTTACAGGTGACATAGACTAGGATCAGTTGATTAGTTATGATCATTATTAAAATTGTTTAATGCTTGATATACATGTATGTATCTTCTTATTCTTTATACAGCTTCTTCTGTTCTATACATGTATTTTACAAGACAACAGTAATTTATTGATATGCCCTGTTTAAATTGTGAAATGATATATGCCCTTTTTGTGTCGCCTTGAAAAGGTGACATGTAGGGGTTACTTTTGTCGGCGGCGTCTGTGTCTGCAGCGTCTGTGTCGGCGTTGCTGTCGGCGTCGGTGTCCCCTTGTCTGGAGCATAACTCAGTCACTATAAGTCTGATTGACTTCAAACTTGGTATGCATGCTTTTTTCAATAACCCGAAGTGCAGTGCACAAGGACCAGTACTCTGCAGTTCTTATTTTTTGAGTTATTGCCCTTTGTTAATTTTCATACTTAAGTTTTGTCCTGGCCATTTCTCTTCAACTAAAAAAGCTATGGACTTGAAACTGCATAGGATGATAGATCTCATTAAGAAGAAGTGCAGTGCATAAGAACCGGTACTCTGCACTTCCTAATTCTTGAGTTATTGCCCTTTGTTAATTTTCATACTTTATTTTTGTCCGGGCCATTTCTCCTAATGTATAAAAGCCATGGACTTGAAACTTCATAGGATGATAGGTCTCATTAAGAAGAAGTGCAGTGCACAAGAATAGGTACTGTGCATTTCTTATTTTTTGAGTTATTGCCCTTTGTTAATTTTCATACTTAATTTTTGTCCATGCCATTTCTCCGAAAGTATAAAAGATATAGACTTGAAACTTCATAGGATGATAGATCTCATTAAGAAAAAGTGCAGTGCATAAGAACTGATACTCTGCATTTCTTGTTTTTTGAGTTATTGCCCTTTGTTGATTTTCTTACTTTATTTTTGTCCTGGTCATTTCTCCTCAAGTATGAAACATCATAGAATGAAAGATCTTATTGATATGAAGTGCAGTGCACAGAAACTGCTGCTCTGCACTTATAATTTTTTTAGTTATTGCCCTTTGTTATTTTTCATATTTCATTTTTGTCCTGGCCATTTCTCCTAAACTACATTGTTCACAAGGCGACACATCCGACTAGCGGAGTTATAGTTAAATCGTGAAATTGATATGCCCTATTTAAATTTGTAATTGATATGCCCTTTTTCAATTTGTATTTGATAAGCCCTGTGTAAAGTTGTTTTTGATATGCCCTGTTTAGATTTTGTAATTGATATGCCCTGTTTAAATTTGTAATTGATATATGCCCTGTTAAAATTGTGTAATTTTAATGCCCTTTTAAATTGTGTAATTGATATGCCCTGTTTAAATTGTTAAATTGATATGCCTTGTTTAAATTTTGTAATTGATATGCCTTGTTTAAATTTTGTAATTGATATATGCCCTGTTTAAATTTGTAACAGTTTTTGGAGTTTAAGGCATTTCAATATCAAAATAAAAAAAAACAATGAGAAGTCAACAGTAGATTTCATGAAAGTACGGGTGGACTGGCTCTTGTAATACAGTTGGCAGCTAATAACTGACTGTTCTGGAAATAAACAGTTAAATATTTACAACTTTCTTTTCTTTTGATCATGTGACTTAGTCTATTTTTCAGAAAACATTTTTTGTTGTTGGTTAAAGACCTTTTTATAACTATTTTACAGAAAACACTTTTTGTTGTTGATTAAACAACAAATTATTTTACAGGAAACACAGTTGTTGACTAAACAACACCGACTATTTTACAGGAAGCATTATTTATTGTTGTTTAAAAACCTCTCTTACTATATTACAGGAAACAATGTTTATTGTTGACTAAACAACACATTTTTTATACAGGATCCACTGTTTGTTGTTGATAAAAAATACTTATTATTATACAGGTAACATAGATGTTTATTTGAAAAAGAACTACTTTTTGTAGTACCATAAATTATTTTTAATTAGACAGCATTTACTTTGATACAGGTAACAGTTTCATGTATTTAAAAAAAAAAAAAAAAGAACCACAACTATTTCCTACATGACTTTGTTTATTGACTTCATGAAATATGTTAACTGTTGTACAGGCAATACTAGCTATTGTTTTATAATAACTAGTACCAGAATGTATAATATGAGTCGCGTCATGACAAAACCAACATTATAAGTGCGTTTGTGACCAGCATGGATCCAGACCAGTCTGCGCATCCGCAAAGTCTGATCAGAATCCATGCTGTTTGCTTACAACTCTTTAACAAGTAGAGAATCTGATAGCGAACAGCATGGATCCTGATCAGACTCCGTGAATGTGCAGGCTGGTCTGGATCCATGCTGGTTGCAAACGCATTATGTTGGTTTTGTCATGGCGCAGCTCATATGTAGTTTTACATAGTAATCAGAATGGATTTTAAACCCATGCTGGAAAATGTAACCTTGCATATCAGACTGGTGTTTCCTTTAGTTTTACCCATGCAGGAAATTTCTTCTGGCATGGGGGGTGCCAGGCCAGTTGCTTGCTGTAAGATGATGTCATTTTAGTGCATTTTATGAATGAACTGTGTGAAGTCATTTCAGGGCATTTTAAAATAAAACTGCGTGCCTAAGATGTCTTCATTTTGCAATTATGAAGTTGTCAATTCATACAGATAAAATGATAAAACATTTAAAATATAAAAAATTATTATATAATTTATTAATAACTTTGAAATGCATTTCTCTGATTGGCTTAGAAGTAACTTTTTGTAAAAAATAACAGGTCAATATCAGTGTATATACACTTTTTTTGCAGTATATTCACCATTTTTTTCCTTTTAAAATATAGATTTTCTTGAAATTCTCCAAAAACGCGACAATTATTGTTCACAGTCACCATTGTCATCTGCTACATTTGGTCACTATCAGAATTGTTCACAGTCACCATTGTTATCTGCTACACTTGTTCACAATCACAATTGACACCTGCTACACTTATTCACAATCACAATTGTCACCTGCTACACTTGTTCACAATCACAATTGTCACCTTTTACACTTGTTCACAATCACAATTGTCATGTGCTACATTTGTTTTTGGTTTGTTCCTTATTTTTAGGACTTTGTGTAAGTGAAAAATTAGTTTTCAGCTACATTATCAAGTGCAGGCAGGTATGTAGCTATTGCACTTCTCTATTGATTGTATGATACAGACTTGTATAACAATGATATCCGATACTTCTATCATTGACAGCTTTTTTTCAGATGTTGCAAAGATAAAAAAATAGATTTTGATTTATAGCTAGATGTCTGGAAAATGGAATAAACAAAGTAGGTCAGATGCATTTTGCAGATTTTTAATTAATTGTTTCTAACACATTCACTGCTTATTGATTCCTCAATAGCATTGCTTACCTATGTGCCAAACTTTGTAAATATATTTTAGGTGTGCATATAATACATATGTACCTGTTATGATTGAGAATACACAGCTTCTAAGATTACCACATACAACATCTGAAAAATGCATCAAGGGTTTGATTTTTTTTTTACTCCAAGACTTAGTGATCTAAAATATTGATCTGTGACTGTTGGTGGTTGTTAGTTTGAATCTCAGAGCAGTTTTCTTCTTCCTGATACATTTGCATCTTTATACTACAAATTATTTAGTCTGTTTCTTAGGAATGACACCCATGCCTTACTCCTATCTATATCATTTCCTAGGAATGACACTCATGCCTAGCAGCCTAACACCTACATTATCTGTTGTCAAGGTATGACAGTCATGCCTTACACCTACATTATCTGTTGTCAAGGTATGACAGTCATGCCTAACACCTACATTATCTGTTGTCAAGGTATGACAGTCATGCCTAACACCTACATTATCTGTTGTCAAGGTATGACAGTCATGCCTAACACCTACATTATCTGTTGTCAAGGTATGACAGTCATGCCTAACACCTACATTATCTGTTGTCAAGGTATGACAGTCATGCCTAAAACCTACATTATCTGTTGTCAAGGTATGACAGTCATGCCTTACACCTACATTATCTGTTGTCAAGGTATGACAGTCATGCCTTACACCTACATTATCTGTTGTCAAGGTATGACAGTCATGCCTAACACCTACATTATCTGTTTTCAAGGTATGACAGTCATGCCTAACACCTACATTATCTGTTGTCAAGTATGACAGTCATGCCTAACACCTACATTATCTGTTGTTCAAGGTATGACAGTCATGGCCTAACACCTACATTATCTGTTGTCAAGGTATGACAGTCATGCCTAACACCTATATTATCTGTTGTCAAGGTATGACAGTCATGCCTTACACCTACATTATATGTTGTCAAGGTATGACAGTCATGCCTAACACCTACATTATCTGTTTTCAAGGTATGACACTCATGGCTAACACCTACATTATCTGTTTTCAAGGTATGACAGTCATGCCTAACACCTACATTATCTGTTGTCAAGGTATGACAGTCATGCCTAACACCTACATTATCTGTTGTCAAGGTATGACAGTCATGCCTAACACATAACATTATCTGTTGTCAAGGTATGACAGTCATGCCTAACACATACATTATCTGTTGTCAAGGTATGACAGTCATGCCTAACACCTACATTATCTGTTGTCAAGGTATTGACAGTCATGCCTAACACATACATTATCTGTTGTCAAGGTATGACAGTCATGCCTAACACCTACATTATCAGGTATGACAGTCATGCCTAACACATACATTATCTGTTGTCAAGGTATGACAGTCATGCCTAACACATACATTATCTGTTGTC